TACCTATACATATTTCTTTTGTATAGCTCAACAGGATGACTTTAAATCCTACATCTTCCTGACCTGGTACTTAGGCTTGTTGTGTGCAGTGCAAGACAACAGTAGTTTCTTTTGGTTTTATTTCGTTTAGGTAATGACACTGCACCTAGTAACTTCTGCACTTCTGCCTTTTTGCAGTGGTAGCCTGTCAGATGCCCTGTTCCATGTGGGCCTGTTATCCTGTGACAGAGGAAAAAGATACCATAGTGGGGGAAAGTAATTATAGGCTTCACAAGCGACAAGGAGGCTGAGAATCAGATGTAGAACATGAAATGAGTTTGGATTCCTTATGTTGCAGACTCTTGGTTGTCTCCCCTAACTCTTGTAAAATAAAACAGCAGAATTTCCTACAATGAGTTGATAGGAGAGAAACGAAAGTGTGTGTGTTTTTCTTTGTTTTTGTTTTTTTTTAAATATATAGTCAGAATTTTAAACATATATTGGTTTGCAATACATCCGTTGTGCCAGCTGTGGTTGTAGGAAAATTATCTTGTTGCTACAGTGCCACAGAAAAAGCAAGTTAGCCACATCTGCTGCCAGTGATAATTCCAGTGCAACAAGTGAAGATGTATGTTAAGAACTGCACATCCATAGGAAGTTGGTGACAAGTGTTGCTTTTTTATGGTATGCGAGTGATGTGGAAAAACTTGGACAATTTTATAATATGCTGTATGCCAATAATGTGGTAATACGTCATTTCCCCCTCAAAATAATATATGATTTTAATTGTACAAGGTTGGGTTGCCTAATCTCTGTATCATTTTCTATTTAGAGTTTTTGTAGTCCTCATTTCAGATCAGCTGATGATAAGACTGCTATGACTGTGAAATAACCTAATTTTTATATTTGACCCAGTAAAATATTTTAATGCACAAATTGGAATTCAATGAAAAATGTCTATGTAAACTATGAGTTAGGTTACTGTCAAGAAAGAGTGCAGTGGGTGTGGAAGAGAGAAATAGTAACATAAAGAGAAAGGAAAGCAAGTTAAACAGAGAGGAGCAATTGCTAGACAGTAGAGTGTTGCAATTTCTTGTCATCTTTGAGGGTGAGAGATTTTTTGATTCAGCTGTTCCAGCTGGAAAAAAATCTAAGTATGGTAATCCCAGGTATTGTAAATAGTGGATGCAACCCTCTGTGTTTTAAAATGCGATGTGTAACATTGGGGCATGTGGATAGAAGTATTTTCCAACCGTAGCATGCCCAGCCCTTCTACTCTAGGGCATGTTGTCCAATATAAAATAGATGAAACTGTGAAGGATTATTTAATGATCTTTTCTCTTTTTCCAAAATGAGAAATCATTGAAAGTGTTTGCATTTCTTTGAATTAAGGCCTGGGTATAAGACCAGAGTGAGGAAAAAGGGAGCTGACAAATGACTGTAGAGAAAATAATAGGGAGATGTTCTGAAATGCAGCTGGTTGCTCTGAGGCAACTCAACTGGTAAGTGGTAGGTGGGTGTGGGAGAGATCAGGAAACGTTTGAGGAAGAATCTGGTTTGCAGACTGCAAGTATTAGAAGTTTCTTGGTTTTTTGAGCTAATTTGTTGCTATCTTAAATTTTTAATAATTTACAGCTGTAATCTTTGTACAATACTGTTATATTTCTTAATGTTAGCATCACAAAAGCAGCATATTGGCTGAATCAAGGGAGTTTTAGGTTTTTTAAATTGAATTTCCAATTTAAATTGACAGCACAACTTAAATAGATCCTCGCTTCAGTACCATTGTAAATCATCTCACATTCAGTAATCCTTATTTGAAAATAACTAAGCGTTCTTATTTTAAAGGAGTCATGCATTATGATTCTTTCTTCTTACCTAATTTCCTGTTTGCTAATGCTCTCTCAGCAGCACAGACATGGTTTTAATCATTATTAAACTCTGAGACACTGAAAGTGTATTTTGACCCCATCCTTCTCATAGTTTATAGGTCTTGAAAACGTTTTCACCTTTTTAAAGGATGCCTGAATATGTATACAGGTAGAGGCCTGTTATTTTTACGTACTGTTCTCCAAATTGTGATGAACACACTGTCGCTACAATAGATCAGTAAAGGTTTCCTTTACCGCAGAACAAAGGCTCTGCGCCTTTGTATATGTGGCCAATACAAATACCTGGACATGGGTTTGGACCGAGTTTCCAAGCTTTAGCTTATTGCTAAAAATCTTGGCTAAAGCTTATTTTTGCACTGTAGTACCTTAAAGGGTTTTTTTTTCACTATGCATTATGCTGGCTTCTTGCTTTTTTTTTTTTTTTAAAGCTACTCTTAAAAATAGTATTTGATGTTTTTGAAGTGCTGCAGATACTGATTCTTCTATTAAACTAAATCTAATTGTTTAAGGTATGTTTTATGTTATTGTTGGCATTTCCTGACAGTGCTTTAATGTTGAAATCCCCTTTCAGTTATTACCTCAGCTCTGCAACCAAATTATCCCACAAAGTTGCCAAATTTTCCTTTTTTGTTAGCTAAACCAGAGTAAGGATTATGACTGAATTCCACCAAAGTGATAGCTGTCAACCTGTGGACTGCAAAATACTTCTGAATCATCGTAAATATATGGGGCAATCTTTAAGGGATGTTTTGTGAAGGGGAAGCTATTGTAAATAGTTTTGAACATTCAGTGTTAAACTGAGTTGTCTAGGCATATTGTTTTATTTTATCATCTCTTATGTTTGTAATATTTTCCAGCCTTTAAGTTAATGGTAATAATTTACCACAATAAGATGCTAAATTGTTGTGAAAAAACAAACTGAAAATAAACCTTTGACCATAAAATTGAATTTCCCAAATATATTGATTAAAATGATATTTATATACAACTTTATGTTCCAGCTCTGACTAATAGAGAGGGTGTCTTTGTACACCTCTTCTGTAACACATGCCTCTGAGTCTTGAAATACATGATTATTCTAGTAAATGGCTTTGGCTACTCTTGGTCTGGAAATTCCAGAGCAGTGATACACTGAGTGCGGTAGGTTGTATGTAATTTCACAATGGTAGATGAGGTATGCTAGTTAGAACTTAAGTTTTAGGTTGCAATTGACCATATTAGGATTTTTACATTAGCCTTTTTTTTTTTTTTTGGGCTAAAAACCTATTTTTAATAAGCTCCAGACTTGAGGAAGCTTTTGTTTTTCTTTTAAAACCATCTGTGAAAAATTATTTGAATTTCAGTGACTGTATGGGAAGTAAATAGGTCATTGAAACAAGAGTAGTAATTTGAAGGATTTGTCTTACTGGGATGCAGAAATTGAAGTGATACCTCTAAAATGATTTTGTGGATGTTTAAAATATTTTGGTGATTCAGCGAGGTGAACTTTTAAAGAAAGTCTGTTTCTCTGCAAGAATCTTTATCCAGTGTTCAACACAAATACTCTGTTGTTTGTTTATCAGAGTTGACTCAGCTTTGGTTGGTTACCATAGTTCATTGCTGTCTTTGGATTTTCAATGTGAATTTCTAATAATTCCCAGGCTTGGTTCAGGTTGAGGAACTTGCTACTATCACTTCCATTAGCTGCCTATGGAGCTGCACTTTTCCTCACTGAATTTGGAAAAAAGTCAAACGTGACTTGAGTCTTGGTCTGATATACCGTAAATGTCATCCATTGCTCAAAAATCAAGTAGTATTTAGTAATGCAGTAGCTGTGAACACAAACAAGAGATAAAAAGATTCAGCTGTTTTAAAATAGCCTTCTGACTACAGCAAGTTAACCTTGACTGTATAAATTAATAACTGTTCAAAGATATTTTAAAAAATAAGAAAAAATATTTGGAATTAGAATATGCTGCAGTGATACGGAGAGCAAGGACAGCACTTTAGCTAAGAGATTGCAATGGAGGGGTGAAGTTTAAGCGTTGCTTTGTATAGCTGTAGCTGTACCATCTTCAGAATACTTGTTCTTGGCTTATGTTGTCAGCAAAGTTGTTCACTCACCTCTGGTTCACAATTTCCATGCAGCCACTATTAGTGTGTTCCTTTTTCAGTCTTATAAAAGCTGAAAATAGTAACTGTGTACCTAGAGTTCTTAAAAGGGCTTGGTTAACCTTTTCTAAAATTTGGATTCGAAGGATAAAAGGCTAGGAAGATCAAATAAGTGTTGAGTTTTGGCCTGACCTTTGTTTGAATTTCTTTTTGTTAATAAGAATCGGTTACTTTGATCCTGTTCCTCTGTTTAAGCCGAGCTTCTGGCTTTTGGCACTGCAGTTATATAGATACAGAATCTTTGTTTGTTAGTTGGATTGATGTTGTCTGATTGGAATGCTCTGTTAGGCAATGAATGCTCTCTTAGGTAATAAAATTGCAAATAAATCCATTTGTCCGTAGCTTAATCAAGTCTGATGAGGAAAGAAAAGAATTTGCTAGCCTGATGTAACCACAAGCAGTACTGTACTGGAATTTAGGCACTCTAGAGTACAGTATTAAAGAATTAAGAGAAAGTAATGCCATTTGTCTCTGAGTGAGTTCAGTTGGTTGATTTCCATTTAAAAGTTGAATGAGTTGGAGAAATGGAGGAAAGGGTCAGGAAAAAAATTAAAATTAGGATATTGACAAATCCAAATATTAATTTGAGGCACTAATAGCAAAGCACGGCAATATTGGTGAAACTCCTGAGAAGCTTGTGTTTGATTACACCTGAGCTTTTGTTAAAGTTATTCAGAAAATCTGGATGTTGTGCCCATGAGAATCTACATTCTTATTTTATGCCATTTCATGTATGAGGTATAGCGAACCAGAAGGCATTTTCGAATGTCAGAAGTTCAGTCTTTGGAATTGTATAGATTACCTTAGTAGATGGAATGACTTTAGAACGTTCCATTGGACAAATATTTTAAAGAAATATCATTTGATAGGTTTTTATTTTTGTGAGCTTGACTAATATTACTGGATAATACCTGTGAATAATTAGAATAATTTTCAGCTAACTTTACTCTTTGTTGTTTTTTCTTTCTTTCTTTACAGGAAAAAATGGCCAAAATGGAGGTCAAGACATCACTTTTGGACAACATGATAGGGGTGGGAGATATGGTTCTTCTGGAGCCGCTTAATGAGGATTCATTCATCAATAATCTGAAAAAACGCTTTGATCACAATGAAGTATATGTGAGTATATGCTGAACAAATAGCATTCTATGAGGAGCTGTATCATCACTCTTAAAATACAAGTACCTATAAGGGTATACAGAGACCACACACCTAAACATAATCTACTCCATTAGAGACATTTGAAACCTTATTTGTACTGTAGTCCTCCCCCTACTAGACTGCTTGCATCTGATCATTTCCAGCTGGGATATTTTTACTTTTTGTTTTTCCCCATTGCATAGCTTCAGATGATGGTGGATCTCAGATTTTCGTAAGAAGCAGTTGCAGAACTGATGATGACAGTAGTTTTGATACTTCTGTTGTCAGAGGAGGATGCATTTTACAAATAAGCTGCTTCTAGGGAAGGGTCTTGAGCTTTAGAGAAGATGTATAAACAGTGTATGCTTGGAATGCTATCTGCTAGGGCTAGCTTAAATGCTATCTGTTGCCTTTGATTTGTAAATAAGGTACGTTCATTAGACTGGTTTGATTTAAAACTGGTAACAATGAGCTTGGATAAATGTGAGAGCATTCAAAATCATCAGGTATATTAATCTCTGAATGATAATCAGTTAAGAGAGAGCATGTCTACTCACAGTTAAACCAATGGCTGGGAATGAAGAGGAAAGCTGTGATCCTAGTTAAGCCTTTCACTTCCTATTTCATCTCTCTTTGTTCCATTTTTGAGAAAATGTTCCCAGTATTGCACCTATTACGCTGCTGAGGTTATGTGAACGTAATGATTTGTAGAGACTTTTCAGTACTGTTGGTGAAGAACAGTCTTTCAGAGTAAAGATGAAATCTTTAAGCTGGGATATAGCTGTGATCTGTAAACAATTTTGTATGCAGTTTGTTATAATCAAATAACATGTTCTGCACTTAATATTAACTCAACCCCACCACCACCACCCTTTGGTTTTTAGTGTGATTTTTTTTTTCCTCCTTCCCTGAACATTCTAACCTTCAAGATTTCATTGTACTTTTTCCTTTCCATCCTCCAAAGTAGGAGAATCCATGTTGTTTTTCTGTTAGCTTCCACTATCCTTTTTTATTTTATTACGATCTGTGCTTTTGTACTTCTGATACTCGTTCTCTGCTGCATCTCTCTTCCAGAATCATTTTCCTATTCAAACATAACCCTTTCTGTTTTCTGTAGATATTAGTGTGGCAATATACAGTTGTGCTTAGTCTATTGCTTTCTGCTAACCCTTAGACATTGGAAAGGGAAGGGAAGTAAGCTATTTGCCTGCAGATTTAGGAGGGCGTTGCTACCTTGTCTAATGCTTGAGTCATATGTAAAAATTTTATTTAAAACATTAGAGACACCTATTCTGTGAGGGTACCCTAGACTGTGCAGCCTCTTTGAAAAGGATTCCTAGGAATGATCTGGGAGTGGAGTTTCCAAGAATTTTTATGTGAACTACTATAGATTGCAAAATATTTAATTACATGTTTTTATTTCATTTAGACAGGACAACTTTTTCTTGAAAGAGAGTTTGAATGACAAATGAGTAATCGGTTTTATTTTTGTCATTTATTATATGCTGTTTGACAACCATGTTCAAACACAGTTCTTTGAGACAGTGACATTGAAACATGTGGTTCCTTGAGATTCAGATTCTGCTGTTCCTGGCACAGAAGTGCGATGTAATTAGTTGTATTATGTGCTTTGGCAGGTGATACAAGGTGTCACTTTTCTCTAGCAAGGATCCTTTGCCTTGCAGGTGGGAAAGCCTGATACTTAAACATGCTCTATTGAGAAGTTTAATCTGCTGCCAAAAACAAAGTTTTGGGGGTTTTTTTGGTGTTTTTTTTTTCTTTAGCTGAATCATTCCCTTTTAGCTTGCTGCAATATCACTTACGCTTTTTATCTTCAACTTTGTTGATCATGTGACTTTTTTTCTCCCCCCCCTTTTAGGCTTACATGTACTGTTTGTGAAAACACATTGTAAAGGCAGAATCGCTGCCTGTATTGCAGATCGTTGCATGTATCACAACGTTTAGTTCATCAGCAGTGCGAAGTCCATGCTGATGAACAGTCAGCTGTTTAAGTCCATGCTACATATGGTTACCAAGTAGACAAGTTATTTGATTTGTGATGCTTCATGGTTTTATTTACCAAATAATTCAAGGAATATTATCTTGATTCTGTATCAGTCGACTTCTGCTGCTGCCCTCCAAATTTTATGCCATTGTTACTACTTTAAAGTTTTTCCAAAATATGTAGCAGTTAGAAAGGTGCTCATTGCAACAGCCACGTGTTAATTTTCAAGTGTAAACTGTTCTCTCCCATTCCTTATCTCTGCCCACTTTCTTTTCCCTAAACCTCACTCAGGAAAAGTATGTTTTGCACTTTTGTTTTTAGACCTGGGTGAGCACAATGAAGCCTTTTTTACATCCAGAAGTAATATTTGTTTTACGGTATAAAATCTTTAGTTTGCATGTTATCATGGAGAAGCTAAATTAGACTATTAACGAGCTACTATTGGAGCTTAACAAAGAGTGGAGACTTCTTCATTTTTAGCTTGTTACAAAGAATTAAGCCCTCAGGATCCTTTCAGAGAGTAACAGGAATAGATTTGTCCTTTCATGGTTCAGCTGTGGCTTTAAGTTCACCCTTTATGTCAGTGTCTAACTGTAGGTGCTACCAAAAAATTGTGTCAAGTTTAAAAAGCTAATTCAGACTAAAGTCATGTGCATGGGCTTGTTCAGCAAGACTTGTTTTTAAGCAGTTTTCTGTAGACTGACAGGTATGTCTGTGCAACATATATCAATTTTAAAATGGAGTTGCACAGCTGTAATATTCAAAAGGGTTTATTGTGAGGAATGAGACCTATAACATGGATGGCTTTGAAAATACTTTAGAGTTGGCCAGCTGTTGCATAATCACGTTAGCCAGTCTTCCTAGGTAATTGTGTGATTCAGATCAAGCCTTCAACAAACAGTGCCTTAGCCAAAGATGAAAAGATAAATGGGCTCATTCCAACAGAAAATAATACAATTCTTGTCTCTTCTAGTCTCTTTCACATTAGCTGTGTTTGATGTTGGATGTTTAATGCTGGAAGTCCTAGTGCCAGCTCCGTTTACCCCTTTGAAACTCTACATCTATAAGAGTTCTGCTTGTAATAGCATTCAGCTCTGGATCTCCTGGTGTGCATATACCATCCTGAACATGATTGCTCTAAGCCCTTCAAGAAAACCAGTTAAGTTTCAGTTTCCGGAATGGGTCCGATACAGGCTACAGTGCATGAAAAATAGCTTCTTTCAAAGCCTTAAGAGCGTGACAGAATTCGGGAACAGGAAAGGTGGAACTGCACCTCTATTTTCTGTCTGTGTTTGAAATGCTTTATTAGGTGAAAAAGTTGGTGTGTAGACTGGCTGGTCCCTCCTTAGATGTAGATACCAGAATACAAATCGATATTTTAAATTATCAGAAAAAGCTATAAGCATCAACGTTTAAGAATTGTCACATGCCGTGGTGCAAACAGGGAAATAAGTGTTCTCCTAACAGTTAGAGAGCAGACTACAGCTCGATTACCTGTTGTTCATTTTTATGTGTGTTTGATGGAAAGTTTAATGGACTTGGGTGTTAGTTTGCATACCAGAGCGCAAAGCTGGAGGCTGTGCCTATAAAAATAAGCATGAAGGCTGGTGGAGTTGGAGTTAGGCCAGATGTTCTACTAAAACCCATCAGATTCTGCAGTAATCTGGTGCTGAGTGGCTTTGGGGGGAAGGGCACACTGGGTAACTTGCTTTTGTTAATTGGAAATGGGAATCTTGGAGTTTAGTCATGTCTGGAAATGTCTGGGGTACGTCTGACTAAGAAAATCTCATTAAAAAGCTGTACTTGTTTATTATATTGTTTTTGCAGCTCTTAAATTTCTCATGATAAAATTCTTTTCTCCTTTTTGCAAAAGTTATTTCCTGTGAATATCAGTAACAAAATCCTATAAGAGCTTCTTTAACTTCACAAAGTAAAATGTATTCCATGGCCAATGCAATTGCCAAATAGAAGAAACATCATATTGATTATGTGAAGGCTCCAGGGAATAGTTGGTGTGGTTAAAATGTATGCCCTACAGACTACATGGAAAACTTCAAATACATTCATAAAAGTAAATTGATGGGTCACTACTGAATTTAAGTTTATAATTTTATGTGAAATTAATCTTATTCTATTGAATTCCCTCCTTTTTTTCTTCTTCCTTTTTTTTAGTTGATACATTGACTAAAATGATTGGCTTATCCAGTTCAGCAGTCATTTTTGCTTTATACTCTGGAATGCCAGCGAATGGGGGTGGGCACCTGTCTCTCTGTACGGTTACAGTGATTCATGAATGGTAGAGATAAACAGTGGTATATGTATCAGTTTGATTATTGTGCTGGAATTGTTTTGTGGTCAGAAGCGTGGAAGTAGCAAGTGAGGTGTGAGGAGTCTGCATGAGCTCAGAGGAGTTGGTCTTTAGAGTTCAGATACTGCGTTATTTTGCCCTGCGCGTTTTTCTGCACAGTTACGTTGATTCTTGAAGTCTTCTGAAATTTGCAGACGTCAACATTTTCTTTGTTACAACAAAATGTTTGTTTGCTTTTTGTTCTTGTAACAAAATAGCATCTTTCTCTGATATCAGTGTTTAATTTGTATTTTCTGTGTATGGAGTTTGTGGGCTGCTTTGGGCAGGAACAGTCTTATGGTACTGAACACATGTTGTTTTATCACTGAAATATTAAATATTTGGCATTCCAGGATAATAACTCAGTGTTAGCTGTTTGAGTGGCATCCTTGTGATTGCCTTCTGGTGGCTTGACTTTTGCAGTGTACTTATTTCACAGTCTGAGGTGCTTCCTGTTGATCTGTATTGTTTTAGCATTGCAAGAGTGGCCTTTTTGTTTCTGATTTGACTTCACTTAACTGTATTTATATCACTCATCACCCCTTTCTCAACCACGTAACAGTATTCAGGCGTTTGCTGCACTGCTGTCTAGAGTAGTGACTCCGGATGCAGCCTGGAAAACGTAGA